AAACCTGGCGCCTGCGCATCTTGATGCAAGTCCGGGGTAGGTCCAAGATGTTCGCGAAATCTGCTGGCAGCAGGGTCTTGCTTGACATGCCTGTAGAAAGCACAATCAATACACAGATTGCTGCCCTCAAAATCTTGCAAGGAAAGCGACATCACTCCAGAAGTGGAACACAAGCAGTTCGGGAACCAAGTTGACCCAAACAGTGCAAATCGAAAATCCCCAATCTAGAGGAGAGGTGGACTCAAAGAGAGAACACCCCTGCGAGCCAGAGTGCAAGATGAGGTCAAACCGCTTTGATGCCTTTTGAAAGAGAAGTCTAATGGAGTTGGGGAGGGTTCTCAGGCTGGCTTGTGAATGCTTTATGACCCTACTCGACGTGTGAATTGCTTGGACTGGCTTGGGCTTGGCTTGTGCAAGGAGTTAGCCTGGTTTGTTGCTCTCGATTGATAGAGAAGTTGCGACAAGACTGCGGCCACACTTTGACTTTTGCTGAGTTGATGCTGTTTGCATACATGTTTGTTTCGTGTGTTATAGGGGTGTGTCTTGAAACTGGGGAACTGCCGAAGATTTGTGGACTTTGTTTTGGTCTCCCTTTTAATACCAACCCAAAAGGGTGCCCTCAAAACTCAGACACCCACAAATGTTTGTCAACTGCAAGTCTTGCTCAGTTGATTACTTCTCTACTCGTCAACTTGCCTTGGCTTGGTTCGTGCAGGTGTTGGATTGCATCCTGGGATTTCTAGACTGATCTTCCAAAGTATACCTTGGCCCAAAAAACTTTGTTACACCCAAACGAGCAGTTCAGATGCTTCATGCTTAGTCCAAGATGTGAAATTGTTCTGGAGTCCCGCCTGCTCCAACCAGCACAAGAGCACAAGAGTATGAACATGCAGGGATGCAGGGTGAAGGAAAACCGAAACACCCGGGTTTCATGATAAATTTACAGGCCCGAAATTTTAACCCTGGACAATTCTTTCTGCATGCCTTTGCACGGGGCTTGACACGTAAAAGCTTGATGTCTGCGTGTCATTATGCAAATGCTTGGCACACCTTGGCTACGTTGTGAATGACCATCTCTACAGGAGTGTCTTACTGGTTGTTGATGCCAAACCGAATCCTGACAGGGGACGGCACTCGACTCATTCAGCCAAGGCCTCAAGTAGTCAAAACGTAAAAATCACTGTAGACAGCACGCAATTCGGGTATAGGTGAGCTTCTGTCGTTTAAAGGCGACATGTAGGGGAGCCGTGGTTTCAGGATGCCATGGACACGGCCGGCCTGGACGCTGCGCTGCTCCGGGACTTTTGCACTTTGGGGGCCCAGGTGCTGGCGGCTCGGCAAATTTGGGGACTTCCGGCTCTCCGTGGCTTGGAAAATGCTTGGCCTTTTTGGGAATCGCTGTGAAATTGAACGTTTGGAACACCAACTCCACAATGGCAATGGTTGGGGGTTGCGTAACCTCCCCGTGTAGTTCGAATGTCTATAGGAGCGAGGGTTTCGGGGGAACCATTCAGGACAATGAAAAGAGTTTCCAGTTTGGATTTGAAGCAATTACCAAGCCCCTGTCATGGAAGGACAGTCTTTCCTTACAGGACTGATTGGATTTGCAGACCGCGCCCTTCCAACAATACATGAGACGCCTTACAGGTACGTAGAACCTGGCATGTGGAGCCTCCAAACCCTTTGCCCGCCAGGGCTTGATTTCGGTTTGACCATGTCAAGATTACAACCACTCCCAATCTTCCCTTCGATCAGCTTTTTGCCACAACGCGCGCCGCAAGCGCACGACCGATGAGAAGCGCCCCAGGCCATGGTTGGCTTCCCCATGTGCCTCATCATGATTCCGATCAACAACACCCAGGGTGACCAGGATTTAGGCGCAGCGCAGCAACGTGCCGTTCTCCTTTCTTTATGGGCAGATGAAGTCGCGACTTTTCAAACGAAGGTTCTTCCTGACCTCATGATGAAGTTTAGTTTCTTGGGGAGGCACTCATGCCTTCCGTTGGTGAATCTGATATGGGCATATGTCAAACTAGGCGGACCCCAACTGCCACATGAGAAGCTTTAGCGTTGTTTACTGGCGCATGAGTGGATGAGGCCCCAATTTGCATCGCTCAGATCATTTGGCTCGGGGTATATTCCAGGTGGTGCATAGGACTTGGACTCTTGCAACTATTTTCGAGCCATTTGCTGCGGTCCCTCCTACAACCACCTGCCCTAATCGATGTTGTCATGATTTCCGTTCAAACCAACTTGAGACGGGTACCCTCACAACCAACACACACACACACACACGCACACGCGCGCAACACGCAAAAACACAACACACACACAAGCACGCAAGCCAACAAACAAACAAAACCAATCCAAACCAAAGCGAAACCAACCAAGCCAAGCCAAGGCAAGCCAAGCCAAGCCAAGCTAAACAAACAAGCAAGCAAACAAACAAACAAACAAACAAACCAAGCAAACAGAAAGACAGACAGACAGGCAAAGAAAGAAAATCAAGAAAGGAAGAAACACATAAGTAACAACAGCAAAAAGACACAAGCAAGCACACACACACACAAGAAAAACAACACACACACACACTCACACACACACACTCACACGCACACACACACACACTCACACTCACACTCACACACACACACACACTCACACTCACACACACACAATCACACACACAATCACACACACACACATAATCACACACACACACAATCACACACACACACACACGAGATCACACACACACAATTACACACACAATCGCACAGACACACACACACACACAATCGCAGACACACAAGCACACACACACAATCACACACACACAATCACACACACAATCACACTCACACAATCACAATCAAAATCACAATCACACTCACACTTACACTCACACTCACACTCACACTCACACTCACACTCACGCTCACGCTCACACTCACGCTCACGCTCACGCTCACGCTCACACAACCTCACACAACCTCACACAACCTCACACAACCTCACACAACCTCACACAACCTCACACAACCACACACAACCACACACAACCACACACAACCACACACAACCACACACAACCACACACAACCACACACAACCACACACAACCTCACACAACCACGCACAACCACACACACAACCACACAACCACACACAACCACACACAACCACACACAACCACACACAACCACACACAACCACACACACAACCACACACAACCACACACACAACCACACACACAACCACACAACCACACACACAACTACGCACACAACCACACACACAACCACACACACACACACAACCACACACACACACAACCACACACACATCCACACACAACAACACACAACCACGCACAACCACACACACAACCACACACACACAACCACACACACAACCACACACACACAACCACACACACACAACCACACACACAACCACACACAACCACACACAACCACACACAACCACACACAACCACACACACAACCACACACACAACCACACACACAACCACACACACAACCACACACACAACCACACACAACCACACACACAACCACACACAACCACACACAACCACACACAACCACACACAACCACACACAACCACACACAACCACACACAACCACACACAACCACACACAACCACACACACAACCACACACACACAACCACACACACACAACCACACACACACAACCACACACACACACACAACCACACACAACACCACACAACCACACACAACCACACACAACCACACACAACCACACACAACCACACACACACAACCACACACACCCACACACACAACCACACACAACCACACACAACCACACACAACCACACACACCCACACCCACACACGCCCACAGACACACACTCACTCACTCACTCACTCACTCACTCACTCACTCACTCACTCACTCACTCACTCACTCACTCACTCACTCGCTCGCTCGCTCGCTCGCTCGCTCCACTCACTCCACTCACTCCACTCACTCCACTCACTCCACTCACTCCACTCACTCCACTCAGTCCACTCACTCCACTCACTCCACTCACTCCACTCCACTCCACTCCACTCCACTCCACTCCACTCCACTCCACTCCACTCCACTCCACTCCACTCCACTCCACTCCACTCCACTCCACTCCACTCCACCCCACTCCACTCCACTCCACTCCACTCCACTCCACTCCACTCCACTCCACTCCACTCCACTCCACTCCACTCCACTCCACTCCACTCCACTCCACTCCACTCCACTCCACTCCACTCCACTCCACTCCACTCCACTCCACTCCACTCCACTCCACTCCACTCCACTCCACTCCACTCCACTCCACTCCACTCCACTCCACTCCACTCCACTCCACTCCACTCCACTCCACTCCACTCCACTCCACTCCACTCCACTCCACTCCACTCCACTCCACTCCACTCCACTCCACTCCACTCCACTCCACTCCACTCCACTCCACTCCACTCCACTCCACTCCACTCCACTCCACTCCACTCCACTCCACTCCACTCGTGCGCACGATGTTCCAGGCGAAGGCGCTCAGGGTCATGGCGTAGCCCTCCAGCTGGAAGCCTCCCACCGTGAAGCTGGCCGAGGCCACGGAGCTCTGGCTGTTGGAGCGCACCAGAAAATTGCCTAACGTGGTGAGCGTGGGCTCCAGCAGCACCTCGCCCAGGGTGGCCAGCATGACGTCGTCGGCCCCTCCGTCGAGGAACTCGTGCTTCAGCAGCAGGGCCGAGGCCGCCGTGTCCTCCTCCTCCTCCGCTGTGTTGCCGGCCTCCAGGGTTGCGTCCAGGATCTGGAGCCCATAGACGTTCACCGTTCCTGCCGTCTGGTTGGGCAGGCCCGGCGCCTGGAAGTGTGCCCCAAAGTGAAGCTTCGCAACTCCGTTCGGAGGCACTGTGAAGTACATCTTGGCCGTGCTCCAGGCGCTCTGGTCACCCGCGAAGCTACCGTACAGGGGGTCGTAGACGTTGTCGGCCTCGGACATGTACACCACGAAGTTGGAGGCCGTGCCGAGCCGGTACCGGCAGGCGAAGAGGAGCTCTCGGCCGGGCGTCAGGCTGTAGGTGCGCACTATGTTCCAGGGGTTCGCCGCCAGAGTCAGGGTGTAGCCGTCCACGCTCACTGCGCCCGCGGTGTGCGTGGCCATCCACTCCACTCCACTCCACTCCACTCCACTCCACTCCACTCCACTCACTCACTCACTCACTCACTCACTCACTCACTCACTCACTCACTCACTCACTCACTCACTCACTCACTCACTCACTCACTCTACTCACTCACTCACTCACTCACTCACTCACTCACTCACTCACTCACTCACTCACTCACTCACTCACTCACTCACTCACTCACTCACTCACTCACTCACTCACTCACTCACTCACTCACTCACTCACTCACTCACTCACTCACTCACTCACTCACTCACTCACTCACTCACTCACTCACTCACTCACTCACTCACTCACTCACTCACTCACTCACTCACTCACTCACTCACTCACTCACTCACTCACTCACTCACTCACTCACTCACTCACTCACTCACTCACTCACTCACTCACTCACTCACTCACTCACTCACTCACTCACTCACTCACTCACTCACTCACTCACTCACTCACTCACTCACTCACTCACTCACTCACTCACTCACTCACTCACTCACTCACTCACTCACTCACTCACTCACTCACTCACTCACTCACTCACTCACTCACTCACTCACTCACTCACTCACGCACTCACACACTCACACACTCACACACTCACACACTCACACATTCACACATTCACACATTCACATATTCACACATTCACAATTACAATCACACTCACACTCACACACACGTTGGAAGAAGCATCTTCTTTGGACCCCCTTTTTCGGTTCCAGCTTTTTTTTGGCACGGCGTTCTGGCAAGTCATCCTCCTGGAGCGTGTTTCCCATGCTCCATGTTTGGGCAAGCAGCCTGCAGGATTGTAGATTGCACATCTTCCTGATTGAGCAGGAAAAGATGAATGCGAACACTTGACCAACATTCTGGCCTCTGACGTGTCATGTTTGCAAGAGTTGCCGGTTTCTCCACATTGAAGGAAGTATTTCGCGACTTCCTGCAAGATTCTGGCATATGGGCATTCGTTTCAACGGCTTGCTACCCTTCTTGGGCAGAGACCTGCTGAAAGTGTCGACGCCCTTTTCCGGACTGTCCACGAACCTGTTGCACAAGAGAATCGAAAGGTGCCCTCCCTTCCATGTTGCCATGTTATCAGGGATACGATCGGTTCAAGAGGAAACGGCTCTTTGAGGTACCCTCCCACCGGTGCCCTTGCGCACGGAGCCCCATGTGGGTATGTGGATCCAAATGGATGTTGCTTTTCCCTTTGACTAGGCCACCGAGGAACCCACACTCGTGCAGGGGAGTTTTTTCCAGCTCGGGGCCAAGAACATCAACCGGAAGAAGAACGGCAATCTCCACCGCGGTCATCAAGATCCTTGTCTACAAAGACGAATGAATCCACTCCGGGAACAACTTCGTGCAGGGGTCCATGAAAGAGGTCCTATCCGCCATCTCAATCCTCAACCTATGTGGAACCCCAGCCTGTGGAGAACAATGTGCCAAATTTCACCGTCCAGTTGACGACGACCAGATTGAGCGGATCGTCCTGGACATCTGGGGACGGCAATGGTCAACGGCCGCGGGCAACCCCCACTGCATTCAGGTGGGGCGCTTTGATCAGAGTGCCATCTATCGCTCTCCTGCCAATCCTGCAATCATCGGGAACCCAGGGATTCTTCGCTGAACCAACGACGCATTTGGCATCATCTGGCCCCACAACCACTCCATGCAGGAGCACAAGTTGCATACCACCGACCACGCGATTGGACTCTTCCGCTTCCAGAACCGATGCGGCATCCGGTTCCCCAGCCCACATCTCGAGAAGGCGCGCGGCCTCTTGAAACCGCAAGAGCCATTCGTCTCGGTCAAGGTCACCAACATCTACCGCGCCTACCCTCTACCACATGGAGCTCAGCGAAGCGGTCTGCGTGCTTCATGCATGGGGGTGGCGGGCAAAACCTCTCCAACCCTGCAAGGGCGACAACGAAGGCCGGCTGGGAGATTGGCTCCGACTCCGACCCTCCTAGGAACGTTGTCCCTTCTGACACCGGCGACATTCTCATCACCCGTGTCAAGACCTTCAAGCAGACCCTCGACCACAAACCACTTGTTGTTTCTGACCGAACGCGAGGATTCCTTTGCGATCGCGACGCTGGACAACCAGCCGGCCACGACCCTTGGCAGAACGGCCAAGACCCATGGTCAATTGGGAGGCCTTTCGCCTCGACAAGCGCAACCCCGGCGCCGGCGGTTGACAAGATGCAGCAACTCGAGACTCGCCTCAAAACCGACCTGCAGGCGTCCTTGCGCAAGGAAATCGCTGGACTCCAAAACGCCTCGGATCACAACATGGACACAGCGGAAGAACCCTTCGCCATGCTTTCGGGAAAAAAAGAAAACAAGGGGTCCCAAAAAAAGGGGTCCCAAAAAAAAGGGAAAAGGGGTTTCCTTTGGCAAAGCTTGACCTCGCTTGAAATGCAACCTGGAGCCAAATTGCGGCGCATATCTAGGGGTCATTATTTTGCAGCCACACGCCTCCACGCAGCGTTTTAGGTTTCGAATCCTTCGCAGGACGAGGTCGTTTCCTGGACGGACGAGTGCTAGGAGCCTCCCAGGTAGAATAGAATCCATTTGGGAAACCCCCTCTAAAGAGAGAGCTTGGCCTGCTCTGCAGAGGAGAGTGCTCTGCAGAGGAGAGTGCTCTGCAAAGGAGAGTGCTCTGCAAAGGAGCGTGCTCTGCAGAGTAGCGTGCTCTGCAGAGGAGAGTGCTCTGCAAAGGAGCGTGCTCTGCAAAGAAGCGTGCTCTGCAAAGAAGCGTGCTCTGCAGAGGAGCGTGCTCTGCAGAGGAGAGTGCTCTGCAAAGGAGCGTGCTCTGCAAAGAAGCGTGCTCTGCAAAGAAGAGTGCTCTGCAAAGGAGCGTGCTCTGCAGAGGAGAGTGCTCTGCAAAGAAGCGTGCTCTGCGAAGGAGAGTGCTCTGCAAAGAAGCGTGCTCTGCAAAGAAGCGCAAGTGTGCTCTGCAAAGGAGAGTGCTCTGCAAAGAAGCGTGCTCTGCAAAGGAGAGTGCTCTGCAAAGAAGCGTGCTCTGCAGAGGAGAGTGCTCTGCAAAGAAGCGTGCTCGCAGAGGAGCGTGCTCTGCAAAGGAGAGTGCTCTGCAGAGGAGAGTGCTCTGCAAAGGAGAGTGCTCTGCAAAGGAGAGTGCTCTGCAAAGGAGCGTGCTCTGCAAAGAAGCGTGCTCTGCAGAGGAGAGTGCTCTGCAAAGGAGAGTGCTCTGCAAAGGAGAGTGTTCTGCAAAGGAGAGTGCTTTGTTTCACCGCGCCCGAAGCTGACTCACCGAAGCTGACTCATTTATTTCTCTAGTTGTGTGTCTTCACAAACAGAAAATATACTTCGCGCCCGAAGCTGACTCACCGAAGCTGACTCACCGAAGCTGACTCATTTATTTCTCTAGTTGTGTGTCTTCACAAACAGAAAATATTTGACTTCGCGCCCGAAGCTGACTCGTCTCCATCCCCGCAAAGAAGTGTGCTCTGCAAAGGAGAGTGCTCTGCAAAGGAGAGCGTGCTCTGCAAAGGAGAGTGCTCTGCGTGCTCTGCAAAGGAGCGTGCTCTGCAAAGAAGCGTGCTCTGCGTGCTCTGCATGCTCTGCAAAGGAGAGTGCTCTGCAGAGGAGCGTGCTCTGTAAAGGAGGGTGCTCTGCAAAGAAGCGTGCTCTGCGTGCTCTGCAAAGGAGAGTGTTCTGCAAAGGAGAGTGCTCTGTCTTCACCGCGCCCGAAGCTGACTCACCGAAGCTGACTCATTTATTTCTCTAGTTGTGTGTCTTCACAAGCAGAAAATATTTGACTTCGCGCCCGAAGCTGACTCACCGAAGCTGACTCACCGAAGCTGACTCATGTATTTCTCTAGTTGTGTGTCTTCACAAACAGAAAATATTTGACTTCGCGCCCGAAGCTGACTCGTCTCCATCCCCGCAAAGAAGCGTGCTCTGCAAAGGACGGTGCCTGGTCTTCGCAACAATAGCAGCCGCGCAACGAGGACGACGTCCTCACCCCTTTTGTTGAAGCTCTGGAGCATCATCGTCCTGTGGAACTTCCTTACCGTGCCTGGGGTGGCCGCATGGGAGAACCCCTTCTCGCAGATCGCCCCATGGCTTCAACACCAAACCACGACGACAAGTGGCAGCATTGGGATCGCTGCCCAGCTTGGACTCAGCTTACGGGCCAATTTTGAAAGCGGCCTTTGGCCAACCTACATTGTTTGAAGGAGCCACCTGCCCCTGCTCTGACTTTGCCCGCTCTACCTGCGCAGCGCGGCCAACCGCGAACTGGGGTCGGGTCATCAGGGAAAAGGCGAAGCTCCGCTTTGCACAACCCCAGTCCGAAGCTCCTCATCGGCACAACCAATCTGGAACGTCTTGGAGACGCACCTCGCGACTCCATCACTCGGGCCATTCGTTCGGCAATTTCGCCGCTTGGCAACAGCATCGCCGACTCAGCGTACTCCCAGGAGCCCCTGTGCCTTTACGGACGGGCTCCGGTTCTCTGGAACATGGGCCGGAGTCCTGCAGTTTGCAGACACACCAGCAACACCGGCTTCGATCCCATGGCCTCCAATACTCCCACGGACGCGCGCAACTTGGTGCAATGAGCGCACCATATTGGGGGCAAACCTCTACGGATGGCCCACATTGCCGACATGCACTTGGAAGATCGGGGCTGCGGTTCATGGCAGGCGATCTCAACCACTCGGAACAGGACCTTCCCATCATTGCAGTGTGGAAGCAACTGGGCTGGGTGGAAGGCCAACAACTTGCAAAGTGTTTGCGAGAAAGGCTGCTTCCCCGCGGAATCCACATGCTGCCCAGATCAATTTAAGGAGGCCCTGACACAACTTCCACGCAAGACAACTTTGACCTCAGGATCAACCCTTCACAACAATTACACCTTTTTACAGACGACTCTTGCACCTACAGACAGGCCCTTGGCCCTAGCAGCGTGCTCGGTTATCTTGGCAAGCCATGGACAAGTCATTGCATCCGGCGCACTACCCGGCCCCTTCTAATGTAAAAATCGCGCCGAACTATACGGAATGCTCAAGCCCGTTGGCTCGCGCTTGGCGCGCACCGGAACGGTTTGGACTGACTCCTCGCACGTTGCAAACGGCACCCGGCGACTACTCCATGACGCCACCGACATTATCTGACCTCCTCTCTGGCTTCGGTAACTTCCTTCAGGTTCAGCACACGCCTGGTCACGTCAGCGTTGCAGCGTGCAATGATCCGATCCGGTTGATGAATGGGCAGCCAAATGGAACGATGCAGCGGACTATGCAGCTCGCCAGGCACAACACCTGAGGCCGATCGGTTTTGAGCAGCTCTGGCTCCAGTACGAAAAGAGCGAGAGGGCGTCCTTAGATCAGCTCGCTCATCTCCTCCGACTTCACCTGGATGTAGCTGAACGTCACTCGGCCCATGTTCATGCCGTTCGTGATGAGGAAAACAACTAAGAGCTACCACACCACCATCACCCAGTTGCAGCTGAATCTGCAACTTCCTGGCCCACCGGATCCCTCCACACTTCAATCGGCAGTTGAGAGGACAACAATTCAACGGCTTTGGAAGCCTCTTTGTGCATGGACTTTTTGTCGCATTGCTCCAAGAGCATTCCCTTGCGACATGCAGCTGGCGCATTTCCTGGCTTGAACTTGCGGCCTTCGCTAGGATCAGTGACATTCCAATCCCGGCAGCTGTTCCCGGGCATCGAGCGTAGCAAGACATTTGTAACCTTCCCCAAGGAGCCCCCGTCCAAGCAAACTTCGCTAGTGACATTCGATTGATTCGTGCTGCTTTTCGTTCGGTTTGTGGCTTTTTCTGTTTGCAATTGGATGAGATCTCCCAGATTGATTTGTCAGCCCTTGGCGTTGGGCCCCCTCAGGGCGGTCTCAATATCCGCCTTTCTGAGGCTTCGCTCCGCAGGACACATGCGAGAGTTCACTTCGGCTCGGCCGATTAGGTCCGCAAACGACCTTGCGAGACCGTTTAGGTAGGCCCACAGCGGCCAGAGACATGGACGTGCGCCGCACTGCTTCAGCTGTGCGTGCGCTCGGGCAAGCTTGTGTGATTTTCCCTTTGACTCCCCTTTGAAACCACCTAAGGGTACCCTCGAACAAACACACACCGATATGTTCCTTGCAGCGTAAATCCCATGACCCCACATCTGTACTGGTAGGTGCTGACAACGAGCTGAGTTCCCTCGAGATGGCCACAATCCGGGATGACTCCCGGCTGATGGGGGTGGGTACTTTCGTCAAGTGGGCCAAGAAATGATTCATCAAACCTCTCAGTTGAAAGCGACTAAACGTGAGAGTGCTGGCCGGAGTGCCACCGGAGCCCGGAAAATGCTGAACTCGCAGTGATATGAGATGTTTGCTCGCCTGAATGCCACAACCGGATGTGCCACGGTCAACAACCTTGGCAGTGAGCGCTGCCAGCATCATAAAAGTAGAGGTGTTTTAGACCATCAAGCACAAAGGTTCCTAAGGGCACCATGATCACAGCACTCGTAAGGAGTTTGGTCATGGCACAAATTAGCTGCTTAGATATGTTTCTCCAGCTTGCGTGGATTCACTCAATTTGCCTTCACACAAACTATCTGTAAGGAATGTGACTCATCTTCACCCAGGACCAAGTGGACAATATCAGCAGGGAGTCCCTTTTTGTTTTTTTGTGGTAATACAGTGGATGGACAAACTCCTGCACTTGGGATGGACGAAACCCCGTGAATTGTGGTTGACAAACCGCCTACCAAGTCGTGCAAAGACTTTCTCCATCCACAGGATTGTCATTTCAGTTGCCACATGCATTTTGACCCGCCGTGCGATGGCGAGTCTTTGTCGCCCGTCGCCTTAGGGCCACCCCTGGCTATACTACGTGCACGCAGTGCTGGTGCCGTGAGCGGCAGTTGCGCTGCTTCCTTTTGGGGCTGGAAGATCACGTCCCAGTGTGTTTCAATGGAAACAACAAGGAGACCAAGCCTTTTGCAGGGTCCCCTAATTAAGAGATACACCCATTTCTGGTTAGGCTCTGCGGCCATTGTTTAGCACTTACAAGGTTGTTAGTGGGTATCTGCACCTTGGTGAACACAGGCAAAAGACAGGCCACGCAGGTCATGACCTCCATCTGAGAACACTTGCAGGGAGTTTTCTAATTGGTGTTTGAGCGGTTGAAGGCGGAGTCTCCAGATTGGGGCAATCCGATGGCAAGCTTTGGTTTCTATGATCGCTCTAGATTACTGTCGTCAGAAATGGGACATTGGGCAATTTTGTCATTGAAGTTGAACCCCCTTGAATGTAACAGAGTAGCCATACCTGCATCTTGCGTGCCAGCTTGGGAGTCTGAATTACACCAACCAGAGAATGTGGCAAACCACTGGGGTAGGAGCATTGGGAATTGCATTGGGGATAGAAGTACGGGTGGAAATAGGAGTATAGCGGAAAATGCGCACACTATGGTCACTGATGGCAAACATTTCCAGGAGCTAAATAAATAATTACGAACCGTTGCTTAGCAGTGTCATGACCTAATTTGGTTTTCAAGTACCCCAAATCCATTTTGCTTGCCCCCCTGTATAATTCAGATAAACTGTTGCAAGCATGGCAATTCTCTGTCAGGTGTGGCTCGTTTGCATCGGCGTGCACTTCTTGCTGGATCGAGCGCAGGAGAGGCATTTTTCCAGATGCTCCACACCAGGTGTGAGGATGACTGTTTTCGTTGCGAGATTGATCTTGTAAACCTTTGTTTTGCATTTGTATTTGATGGGTCGATTTTCCGGGCGTTCTCACATACACAGGCTGACACAAATGATAAAAACGCCTTAGAGGCTTCCTTTGAAATCATCGAGGCTTCCCAAGTTCGACGTTCCACCAACATAGCATATGTATTATTTCGATTCTTAGAGTTTAGAATACAACATATAGCTACATCCAGCTACATCCATGATTGAGCACCGGGATTAATAAGCGGTTGATCTTGATCGGCGGAGGTGGTTTTCGAGGGAGTCCTTGACTGTTTGGGGTTCACACCCCGCTAAAGATCCACGAGTGTGATAGGTTTGGGGTCGAGACTTAGCAAATGGCCATGAATTTCAATGAGGAATACCACCCGAAGTTGTTGGTGGACACAAATCCGAACTTAATGATGTCCACCAAAGGGTCCACAAATCAAAATCACACAGACACCAACACCAAGGAGTTATTCCCCAACAGAGCCTTCATATGTGACCACCAAATCAAGGCTCCCAAGTGTGGCAAATCGTATGGCGATCCATATCCCTCTCCAGGCACGGTTCCTGAAGCTGCGGGTGCAGTGGCTCCAAAGCCGGGGGTCTCAGAGGGAGTGACCCAGGTCGGACACAGACCTTCAGTGTGCTCAGATCTTCCCGCCAGTTTGGGACGTTTTGTCCAACTTGTTCAGTTTTTTGTTTTTCTTGTCCCAAAAACCCGAGGGGGAACGGCCGGATACGGCTGGCGTGCGGGCAGAGCAATGGTTGAAAGAGAGAAAACAAATCACCCCCGGAGCTTCGATCAAAGGGAGGCTACTGGCTTCCGCGTCAGACGGACCCGGACAAAATTACTTGTTGCCCCTAGAGGACGTGGGAAACTGGATGACCCTGGTCCTGGTGCTTGCGGGAGATTTGGGCTGGCTCCCCTTCTCCCCAAACTAACAATAGGCTAGCAGTGGGTCCGTGAGTTGCTCAAATGGATTGATCGCCGATGGCCATGGGAACAAGAGGCACTCTTTTTGTTGGCACTTTGAGTTAAAAGGGGGGTTTCACCCCCCTCCCCACAAAAAGTCAAAGAGCTGTCCTGCTCGGGTTATAAAACCCTAAATGTCAAGAAGTGCGCCCTGTTTCTTACCACGGCTGATGTACAGCACGTGTCGCAGCTGAGGTGAAAGTGGCCATCGCAGCCTAATAGTGGCTATTAGTGACCAATAGCTATTACGGGAAATTAAGGCTCCATAAGGGCCATAGCCTATGGCTTCCTTGAAGAAGTGTTGGAAACTGGTCGGTCTGTTTGTTTGTGCCCACGGGCCGCTTTCTTGGCTGGTGTGAGGATGGACAAATCATCTGGGGATGTGGGTGTTTCTCAACATAGAAATTGGTCCCTGAAAATTGTGCCGGTATCCTTTTGGTTTCCCTCTAAATACCAATTAAAAGGGGTCCAGGTTTTTGAGAAACTCCTTTGTGGCCGTTTGCGGCGCCCTTTTCCCGGCTGGACTGGAGTCTCCTTGCAGCTTGACCTGGACTGTTTGAAAGCAGCCGTGAGACAAGCAAAGCCTACCTGGATTTGATCTTCAGGGAGGGGCTCCCCCTTGGAACTCCAGTTGAATGTCGAGGCACCCTATGTAGGTTTCTCAAAATGAGGTACAGCAGGGGGTCACATGTTGAGAAGCCCATATTGACCGTGGCTCTGAATCTCGGAACCCAGGTATGCCGGCGCCGCGCTCCACCACCGTTCTGGTTGCCCCTTGGTACGAAAGATGAGTGACTTCGGATCAACGAGCCAAGCTGAAGGGGTCGTGCCCCCAGAAGGGTCATGCGAAATGAAGGATCCGATTCCAGAAGCAGAGGTGATTCCACTTGTTGAAGGGTTGATCCATTCAAGGGAGTTCCTTTGGATTCGAGTTCTTCTGACTCATCCGATGTTGACATTGGTCATGCCTCCTAGTTTCATTGCAAGAGACGTGGCTTTTGGCCCCCCCCCCAACTGGGATCATCCTCGATTACCTTTTCAGCAGCTCTTAATGGCCAGAAATTCGACTTGGATGTCAACGTGGGTTTCGAAGCAGGTGGCTCAAAGGTCAATTCATATTTTGTAAGCCACCTTCGAAGAAACAGGCTAGATGGAAGAATGTTCTCTCCGAGCTCCGCAAACCCTGCCCTTTCCCTGACTGGTCTGGTTGAGCCATGAGCAAAAAGGATAGCCAAGGACAGCCGCTGGCACAAAGAGGGTGTATATCTGCCCTGTAAGTTGATCGCATTTCAGTCGAGACAACTCGCCCGTGGCCAAGCTGCGGGATGGTAACCTCAAGCGCACCCCCCATTTTGATAGACGACTTTCCTTGTGGCATTCCATGTTTGGTGGGAGGGTATGCTACGGTCAACAGATAGGGATGTAAAGAAAACCACTGGAAGATAGTGGAAGGGTTCTCAAAAGAGAACCATGGCCATGGACCCCGCAAGGAGTTTCGCACAGGGCACAACCGGATATGTGTGAGCTGGCGGAAGTTTGCCGATGCATGATATGCGAGAGCAGCATGCGGCTGAAGTAAGCCATCCTTGTGGCATGCCCAAACACTTGTTTAGATATGTCTGTTTCTCAGACTGGGATTCCCCAGAATTGTTGGTTTTCTTTTGCTCAAAAGAAGCTCGGCAATCTACTGCAGCATCATGCACGCTGCCATTTCCAGTGGATCAGCAGACTGGAACGTTGCTCAGGAGAACATCCCCAAGCAGTGGCGCTCGGACGATCTTCTACGGGAGCAACTGAGCAGCACAAAGAGACAAACTCGCCATTGCGGGCTTTGAACTGTTCTATATAGGATGGCCATGGACACTTTGCGCCGCGCAGACGTGAGGCAATTTCCCAATTTGCATCCTCCTAAAATGGAGCCAGCGATCTTTTTCGGAGGAACGGTTTTAGCCCTGCTGGGCGGTTCGGTGCGTTGCATTGGTCATGTCTTGGTTTCGTCGCATCGAAGAAAATATGGCCATGTTTGATCCTTCTAGTCTTTTCTGGATGACCTGGAACAGCCAGGAGACGGGCTTCGGGCAGATATGGGGGCATCCCCAAACCTGATTCGTCTCATTTGGCCTCCTTGCCTTTGCGCACTCAGCAGGCTCATTTAGGATACCTGCCATGTGGTAGATATCGACCTCCATGGCCCAGAGGACGGGAGGATGTTCTTGGTTAGCATCGGTCAGCATCCTCACTTCATGTTGAGCCCGACCCCCTTTTTTATTTGCGCTCGAGGTAGCCTTTGAGGCTAGCCCAAGCCCAACAAAGTTTAGTATAGATTTCTTGATTTGGGGGCTAGGCCCTACCGTTTTATTTTCGACCAAGGGAGTTATTTGATTTTCGGTCAAGTGGGTCATGCTATTTGTTGCTTGTGCTTCGTTTTCATGACCCCGCATTTTCTTGGCAACCTAGGTGAACCTAGAAATTACAGATTGAGTATTGGCAATGCCAAGTTGAGCAATGGTAATACTGAATTTAGCATTGTGACCAAAGATTCAGTATTGGCAATGCTAAGTTTAGCAATGGCAATACTGATTCTAGCATTGTGAACCTAAGATTCAGTATTGTCAATGCTAAGTTGAGTATTGGCAGCACTGAATTTAGTTTCGGGATACTAGAAGATCTAGAGTTTGAGTATTGTATTGAATTTTTTGGGATCTAGAAGATCGATTATGATTGGCTATACTGAGTTTAGTAGTGGGATTCTAAGACTAAGTAGTGGCAATACTTAGGAGGGGGCTTCCAAGCGCAGTGGCGTCGGAGAGAAGGTACATGTTTGCAATTTGTCACCCTCATCCAAGACACCAGGATCCCTTATTGCCATTTCCACTAGTGTCGGACCGGCTTGTAATTGGGATCGCTTTTTATACAACGTTTTTTCCCTTATTCACCATCCTGCGACTACTTTCGAGGGTCGCATTAATGGAAAGTTATTTTGCCGGAGAAAAACATTGCCGGGCTTGCCAATACTGAATTTAGAATTGGCAATACTGATACTAAATTAAGTGCTTGGAATCTGAGAGTAGGTCTTGGCAATACTAAATATTGAATTGCCAATACTAAATCAAGTGCTGGGAATCCGAGAGTAAGGTTTGGCAATACTTCCTAAATTAAGTACTGGGAATCTGAGAGTAAGCCTAGTCTCTGCAATACTTAGTTTAGAACAAGCAATACTAAATCAAGTACTGGGAATCTGAGAGTAAATCTTGGCAATACTAAATGAGAATTTTAAATACTAAATTACGCACTGGGAATCTGAAAGTAAGGCTTGGCAATACTCAATTTAGAATTGGCAACACCAAATTAAGCGAGGGGAATTTGAGAGTAAGTCTTGGCAGTACAAAATTTAGAATCGGCAATGCTAGATAAAGTACTGTGAATCTGAGAGTACGGCTTGGAAAAGGTTAGCCCCTGAAGATTTTAGGCCCGGCCGAAGGGCTAGCCTTTGGGCTTAGCCCCGTGGCCATTTTAGTTTGTGACCTCTTTCCCGACACCCATTTGATTTTCGCCGGGGGGCTAACCTTTTCTTCTCGTGGGCCCCTAGTCGGTAACTTTTGTAGGGGTTAGCACCCCTACTTCAATTTTGGAAAACAGGTTAGCCCCCCCCCCCGGGTGTTATTTCAATCAAATGGGGGTCCTAACCCTCAAGGGAACAAGACAGGGGGACTGTTTGCACAGGCACTCTGTGTTGCACAGCTGTCATGGCAGGTTCCATGTTGGTGGGAGGGATGGTATTTCTTCCAAGAAGACAACCATTGAGCCGAGGTTCTTTGGAAAGATCTTCAGCCCACAAGATGTGCTGGGAGCACACATGGCCGCTGGTTGGCATGGAATGACGCGCGCGTCTCAAACAGCCTTCGTGGATTTGGGGGGTCTGACCCTCTGTGTATTGTGAGACAGCAAAAGCAAACCAAGCTTCTTTGTTTTTGGAAGCTGATTTCCCTGTTGCTTTGCCAAAGGTTCAACAAAAGCGCGTTTCGAAGCTCTGGTCTCCTTTCGACATGCGCATTCTCGAGACGCACAGCCTGTTTCGGGAAGGAATGCGCCTAGCACTTGGATTTTCTGGAAGGAGGCCTTTTGACCTTTCGGCTCAGGTGAAGAGGGAGGACGATCTGGCGAAGCTGGTGATCAAGCGGGACAAACTGGTGGCCATGAAGCGGAAGGCGGAGCTCACCTTGCAGAAGAAGGAGACTCGGGAGACCTTCCGCCCCAACTGCCGCTTGGATCCGACCCCAGGCGGGCGAATTCAAAAAACAACAACATTCGCGCTCATTCGGTTTGATTCGGGGTCTTTTCCTAGTCCTGGTTGAGGGATCCTTGGATCAAGTCCTAGTTTGGTCCTAGTGCTAGTTGAGAGATGCTTGGTTCTAGTCCTGGAGGACTGGTCATAGTCTACTGAAATATTTGGAAACTATGAAGAGGACCATTACTTGAAGCTTAATTGCTACAGGAATTATATAGAGGTAAATAGGCTAGTCCTGGGTTGGTCCTAGTCTATTGAAATAATTGGAACATATAAAGGACACTGCAGAGGAAATTTTACTTGGCATTCAACTACTATAAGAATCAGAGTTAAATCGTCTACTCCTAGTTTGGTCCTAGTCCTAGTTTAGAGATCTAGTCCAAGTTGAGAGATCCTGGTTCTAGTCCTAGATGGGCAAACTATGAACTGGAGAGGAAAAACGCGAACACATGTGGTGCGTCCAAACCTAGGGAACCCCTTTTGGTCTTAAAGGGAAGGTAAAAGGAAGCCAGGAAAGGGGCGAGTTCAACAGCTAATTTGTCAAAGCCATGTTCAAGCCATCAGCATAGTGAGTAATAATCAGTCACATGGACTCTCAATTGCGGATTTGCACACTTCCCTTTTTTGATTTGTGCCGTGCTGTACCGTAGCCATTGATCGGGTAGAACTGACTCACTATGCCGGTGCCGTTGAATCGGTCCGAGGCTGTGCCAAGAAGGTGGACACCCTCGAGTACTGCGAAGACCAGATGCAAGGCCTCGATGCCCTTCGGCGGAACTAAGACTGCCGGCTGGACGAAAGCATGAGGTTGTGCTTTCCTTTGAGCGTACCGTTTCTGGGTTGTTCCAGAGTCAATCACCCAAACTCACTCCCTGAACCTACTCTTTTTGGGAAGAACATTTTAGTGGTAAACACAAAGTTTGGACTTGTTCTGGCCAATAAACTCAGGAAGTGAGCAAATGGAGACCATGGAAGTGCACAGGGATCCTTTTCAAAAGGGTGCTCCCCGCAAGAATGAACGTGGAACTGAAAGAGGGGTGACCCCAAACGAGATTCCAATAGGAGCTGACGGTTTTCGGGTTCCACGTTTTGCAGAGGAGGCTTCCAGGAGGCATAGGTGAAACATTAGTCGGCGGGGTAAACGGACCTCCCAGGGGGAGTTTTGCGGGCATTTGCAAAAACACATTTTGTGGGGTATGGGTGTGATTTTGGGGTTTGTGCATCGCAAGACCAGGTTTGTTGGCGCTCAAAGCCACTGAAGGATGCTGAACGTGCCTGGTCGCTTTCTCAATTATGTGGGCAGATAGCAGCAAACCCCATAAAGCCTTTTGGTTTGCGATCGGACACCCACGTTCATAGGGGCTGCTTCTGTGGGTTTGGTGGACTAGTTGAAGCATCCGTGATACGTCATGAGGGTTCGGATGAGATAAACATCGCAACCAAGGCGGAATAGAGGAATGAGAAGGAGGCAGTGTTCATGAATTGGCTTCGATTGGCTTGCTTTAGGCTTTGACCCACAGAGTTGTCATTCGCAAAGTCAGAACGAAGCTTTCAACTGACTTGGGTATAAGCCAGGCGTGAGGACAAATTCCAGTTGCCACACGGAATCTCAACATATTTGGACAAATGTGACCACTGTGCAACTCAATCTGCTTGAAGTCTGATATAATTCCAATGACCATGCCCGTAGTTTGATTCAGACAGCTGGGAGCAAAAGAAGCTTTGAGACGCCAACCTGTTCATGTCAAGCTTCGCGCCAAATGACCGCCCACACTCCAGACCTTGGCAAATCGCAGGTTAGGCGGATTTATCCTTTGACGGCGCCTATGCGTGGTCATTTTTGTGTTTTTTACTCGGTTTGAGTCCGGTGTCAACAAAAGCTTACTGCTTAGGATCGGCTCGTTCTGCTTTCATGGTGACCAGATGAAGACAATGCAAACTGAGCCAAACTGACCCCTGTCACGCGTCAGGGCTTCCTTCATGTCAAGCAAAAAGCAACATGCTGGCTTCCATGCTGAGCAATGTTTTTGACCCCTGATTAATTACCCCCAGTTATTATCAAGAGGATCCCTTGTTGGCGGGGGTTCTGGCCTTAAAGGAACCCGGACTACAGGCTTTTTGAGATCGGCTGCAATTTGGACGGTTCGGGTCAGAGACTGGATTGCCTGTTCCGGGAACCCACCAGACCTAGGCGTGTTGTACTAAAACCAAGGGCCTTCATTTGGAGAGCAAGCGCAAAGCAACCACCATAAGGGCCCGCGCTCTATTTTGGCTTTGAGTTTCAACAGGGATCAGGCTCCAAAAAAAGGTTGATTGACAACCCCCCGGCCAATATATGCAACTTTGCACACTCACCAATTCATTCAATAGTCATAAGTTTGTCAACAGAGAACTTCCAAATTGATTGTTCCCTTTGGGTGTCCCCCTTTTCAGCAACCCAAACAATTCAAAAAGGGTATTGGGAGCCTCCAAAAAAGGGGACACCCCAAAATGGTGCAGGCTAAGTCCTGGCTTCGCTCAGGAACAGATCGTCGCCCTGCGGGAGGAGCACGAGATACGGAGGCAACAGGACGTGGGGGGGGGTGGGAAAGAGCGAAACCCCATAAGGGACCGACCGTTGGCTTGCTTGTCTGGCCCAATCCTCCAGGTGTTTGGGGCCCAGCTGGTTCCCGTCAGGTTAGGATGGCCTCCCTCAACGATGCGTGAGAACTCACCTGCAAATCATTTCCTCCCATTCCCGGCGAACACCCTGCACATGTTTAGATGATTCTGCAGTAAGGATATCGAGTATTCAGAACTGGCTTGTCAAATGTTTTGCCTTGCAAGCTTGCGTGCTCATTGCTGGCATTTGGCATTGCAAGACGCAGATTGACTCAAACATGCGGGCGTGTCTTAACCTGTGGCTCCCCTAAATGCTTGGTTTCCTTTTGGTTTTCCTCTAAACACCAAGGGTGGTGCACCCTTTGGTGAGAAGCTCTCATATGCTTGTGCTAGACTCCCTTGAGTTCGATGCGAGGACCCTACCTGTGGTAGCTCCCACTGTGGCTTCGTGACCTTCAAAGGCCGGATGGGGTCTCGACAGCAACGGGTTTGCTCGGGCAACAACGTTTTGCAGGGGTCTCTGGAGCACCGAACATGACTTATGACTTGCTGTCTTGATGACTCAACGAACTGGCCAGCATTCTGCCCTGCCGGGATCGGCGCCGGGCAAGTGAAGAGGAGACTTCAAGTCAGCACCGTTTTTCGCTGTTGGGTCTCAGTGTACACGCAACAACTAGGAGGAATGGCACCCTGGAGGATAGCTGGACATTTGGCACCAGATTTGATATGAGCGTGTCTTTCTCTGAGACCATTTTAGGGTTGGCTTAAGGAATTACGGAGGGAACCAGCCGTTCTGGCTCTTATTGAGACAAGCCCATATGGCAAGGTGCTTGTAATGAACTTGGCCTTAGCCAGAGTTGCTTTCCAATCGAATACGCTTTTACAAGAGCCCATGCGAGTGACTGCACACGCCTGGTTATACATCCTGCATAGTTAAACCTGAACGTAGGCACACTTAAAGAGCGCCACTTTCCAGCAATGAAGTTGCTTCTCGTAAATCAGAAAGGGCTCATATGTCCACGCATATGCATTTGCACATACATACGTACGTACATACGTACGTACATACGTACGTACATACGTACGTACATACGTACATACGTACGTACGTACATACGTACATACATACGTACGTACGTATGTACAGACACACACACATACATACATACATACATACATACATACATACATACATACATACATACATACATACATACATACATACATACATACATACATACATACATACATACATACATACACACACACATACAGACAGACAGACAGACAGACAGACAGACAGACAGACAGACAGACAGACAGACAGACAGACAGACAGACAGACAGACAGACAGACAGACAGACAGGTAGACAGACAGGTAGACAGACAGACAGACATACAAACATACATATGCATATTTGTATATGCTTAAACATACACATGCACATATGCACACATATGCCTACTCTCTGACGCACACTGTGATCATACACATGAGTGCGGATTGGGTTTCTGAATTCGTGCGAGCAACAATCCCAGTCCAAGTACCCCAACCAACTCATCTTGTCCTTAGCAGCAGTTGTTTGGGTCAGTCGAAACCCATAGAATTTTTGCTCCAATTGTCCCCTTGAAAATACGTTCCTCCACGGTTCCCTCGTTTGGGGCAAGGGACACCCTCCTTTCGAATCAGGGGCCCCTGCACACCCCCGCTGCACAAAGCAAGCCAGTGAGCGTGCATTGCAACAATGCAGAGGCCGGCGCTTTGCAGAGATGGCGAAGGATCTGCACATCAGCGCCTGCAAACAGGAGTGGCAGGCGGGTGCATGCTGATCTAGAGGACCCACATTGCAGGGACGCACATCTTGCAGCGGTGCCCCGGGTGTTTTGAAGATGGACCATACAATTCAACACTGATTTAGAGTCATAGCAAAGGGAGCTACGGGAGGGTTTCTTTTAGTGCTTAGTGGCTCTAGTCACTGGTCACTATTCGCTTGCTTTGGCTCCCCTTACCATGGCTCTAAATCGGTATATGAGGGTGGCGGGTTTGGCTCAACCCGAAAGCGGGCTTTCTGCAATGAAAGACCAGTCAAAAAGCGGGGTCAGTGCATGTTAATTTCCTCTTTCCACGAAACTTGCTTTTGCATTGGAACAGACAATGCAATGCGCAATTGCTTGTTCAGGTTGGGGAGTTGCAGAAACTCAGCATCGCCTGTGTGGTCTGGATGAAGTAGTAGCCAACACACTTCAGCAACAAACAAATCCGAGCTATGAATACTGGATGACACGGGCCAATGTAAACTCAGCCATGGGTCAACAGTGGGGGGCAACGGAGGCCCTTTTCCTGCTCGGAGGTTTGGGGGGTTCCCCTTCAAATCAACTACACCGGGTACCGCATGTGCCCAAAAAAGGGTGCCCCGTTTTTCGCCATGGCCACTGTAGGTCTGGGCCTCAATGTGATCCGTTGATTGTCAGGCGCTGTTTGCCGCACGTCTTCTGTGTATTCGGGGTTTAGCGGTGCCACAAATGTATCTTTGTCCATGTCGGCCCTGGCTACTTCAAGTGGTCCTTGGGCAAGCTCATCTTTGGGCTGTTCCTTACGCTTGGTAAAGCATTGCCACCACCTGTCACGCAGAGACGAAGACTTTCAACATTTGAACAAAGTTTCTTGTCAAGCAAGTTTGACCCCATTAATTTTGATTTTGGCCTTCCTGGGTCAAGTAAAGTGCCATCCTCACACATTTGGTAGCTTAAACGGAGCTTCCCACCGGGTCCAACAACTGCTGAGCTGACCGCCCAAAGTCGCACCCGGCGAAGGAACGCCCAATGTTCCGAGCTCGCTCCGCGGCTCGCTCGCAGGTGTCGGAGGCCCCGGTGCCGGAGGACCTGCGGTGGGGGGACCTCCGAAAGAGCCGGGAGTTCCGCATCTGCATGGAGGTCTTGGGCCATCTCTGCGACCCGGCCGAGCCAGCGGGAGCCGAGCGCGGGAGACGCGATCGGTGCGTGTGGGTTTTGATAAGAGCAACGGAGGTTTGGGTGCTGAAAAAGGGAAACCAGAGGGACACCACAGTTTTTTTTGGGGAGTGGCCTGGTATCTTCTTGAATGGTGGGCCCACCCAACAGGCGGAACAAACTTTTCTAGAGGTAAGTTCTCCATTGGTTCCAGTGGTTCTACTATCCGGAAGCCCAAATGCTAGGGCGAAGGGGCTGTTTTGGAAAAGAGCGATGGTTGAACAGAAAGGATCGAGTTAGGCCGGCCTCAATGGTCCATTTGGCGTATCTCGGATGTTGATTCCTGTGGCTATCCATGGGTGTCAACTCAAATCGGTTAGCCCCCAATCATTTTGTAGGGCAGCAACCTTATCTTTTATCTATTTTTTTGTTTTTTTTTTGGGGGGGGGCGGGGGGGGGGATGTTGCTCTTCTTGGAAAAAAGGGCGAACTGGCAGAAAAGGTGGTGGTTTTGGAAATTTCACGGAATCGATCCCCGCAAATAGGAACGAACCATCTTGCCTTTTTGCATCATTGCGAACCCTCCAACCCTTCTATATAGATAGATTCAACCTAAGCAGGTTCGGATCTCCGCTCAAATTGCAAAAGTTCAATCATCAGGCCTTGCAGCCTTGGCAGCAGAGGTGTGTGTGTGGTATTTGTTGCATAAATGGGGGTTGATCAAAAGGTCCTTTGCATGCAATGACCATTGGGGACAACCACTTAAAAAGATGACATGTCCTACTAAATGGGAAAAGTTACCTATGGTCATTTGGGGGCCAGGAATATTGATCAACCCACCAACACATATCTATGTATAAGTAAAGAAACAAGCAAACAAATCAACAAGTAGAAATATATATATATATACACATATTAATAATGTACATGTATAGTGTGGGTAAATGCGGATCATGTGTTGCAATATGTCATTCAAATGAAGCATGATTTCCAACTCAAAGATTCCCAGGTGCCTTTGAAACCCAGACATTGCACAGCCCTTGAGATCTGGTTCATGAATGTCCGCTCGCACAGAATTTTAATGATTGCTTGAAGAGGGGTCCTGACACAAGTTGCTGAGTAACTTCTAGCATTTGTCTGCTAGGGTCATGATTTAATCTAGGTTTATGGTACCCCAACCTCCTTTCAAATTATTTAGTCCCCTTATATTGCCTTCTTCCCTTCTTCTATCGTATGGGGAGATGTCTACAGAGCCCAAGAAATGAAGCTCGCGCAGTGCCCAGTGGAAGATTGTCATAGGCTTCGGATGATGACGTGCATGGGGCATGAGTTCAGGTGTGCTCGCCCTCTACATTGGCTTCATCCCCATTGTAGCTTTCGCCGCGCAGCTGCATGTAAAGAGAGGCCAGTCGACGCCCCCGCCCTGTTGCGATTCTGAGTCACAACTAACAGTGCAGCAACACTGCATGTGTGTCGGTTTGCACGCACTTCGACACACAAGCGCTTTGTTGGCCAGCACTGAGTTTGGAGCCTGCACGCTGACACAAATGGTTCAAATGATTCAAGTAGTTTCAGAGCGTTGGGGCCGCCTGGAGCCAGAGAACAAGAGGCCCACTCCGTCATACGCGTGCGAGGTTTTGTTTGAGCATTGGTGCTCATGCGACATGGTTTGGAGGCAATGCCACTTCAGACCCAGGGAGCCTCAAGATGAAAGGGGGAACATGAAGTAATTCGACCTAGTCTTTGCAAGCCGATTGTCGTCAGCTGAAAGCTTCTGAACAAAACTCACATGTCAGCGCTGATGAGCAGAGTATTTGGCGGGTGGTTTTGCGCATCCCGTTGGCCCCAGAAGCTGCATGCAGGCATGTGTCTGCTCTTGTTTACCGCGATACTCCCAAGAGGAGGGGACCATGGCCTGTATGACAGTGAAGCTCCCTGCTTGTTGCCTTTGAAGGAGGCTTTACAAGAAAACTCGAGTTGTCTAGTAACCGGCGTCCTCTGCACTCGGATCGAACATACTGACTCGACAGTTCCAGCGGGCACTCATGAGCATCCGGATTGATTGCACACTTGACTGCTTCGACCGGGCACAAATGACAAACGGGGTGCCGAGACAGCTGTTCCAAAGGTTGCCGCGAAAACGGAAACGGAAACGACCGAGTCGACCGAGTATAGGTCAGTACCAAAAACAGGTTCAGCGATCAGACAGGTTTCGGCGGGATGGGCAACAGGGGAACATCAGCTCCACTGCGTTGTAGCTGCTTCCCTTCATGCTTGGCAGCCCACTTTGTATCTACATGGGTAAACCATGACAAGATGGACTGTGCAGTCCCTCAGACACAGCACACCTCGTCACCCCCACAATTTATTCCCTTGATCCCCTCCAGATGGCAATAGCCAAACAGCGCATAAAAGGATCAGATCAATTGTCCTAGGGATTCCGCAATTCCCCTCCCTTCTTCCCTTCGCCGCCCTTCCTACCTTCTTTTCCCGCCCTTCTCTCCCCTGCCCTCTCCATCCCTCTCCTCCCTCTCTCGGCTCCCCCTTATCTGGACCTACCGAGCAGGCTTATGAAATGGTGAGAATCCCCGTATTTTTCGGTTGGTGACCGACCTCAGAGAGCTTTACGAACAGCTTTAAAACAACTGCATGTTTTGCTGAGAAGGGAGATCCCTTACGTCGGGCTTGTCAGAAATACAATACGCCAAGATAGCATGTTGCATGAAAAAACCATTATTTCGCGGTTCAGCGTTTCCTCGTTTAAGTACCCACATCTACCGGGGATTGTGCCATCTACTCTCACCCGGCGTAAGGCAGACTGGGCATGTCTTCCAACAGGCTTCAAATGGTGGTTTAGCCTTTGGGTTTCCTTTACACCATCCCCACAAAAAGGGTACCCTCTAAAAGCGCAAAACCAAGTGGTCAAACACCCACCGAGGTCACCAACTTGGCCATGCTGGTAAACCTGGGCCCTCTGCAGCCGCTGTGGGCGGGCTTTGCGCCCACCCTAGGCGCGGGCTATCTGGGGCGAGGCGTGGAGGCAGCACACTTGGAGACTGCATGAAAGAAACATGTATACATACATACGACTGTATAGTTAAACTTGGAGCAACTGTGTCACCTGAATACCTGAAGTGTAAACCAGTGAGTATATCAAGCCGGCAGTGCAGCACTCCTTTTGCACTGGCGCGATATCTACTGTAGGCTCAAGGCCTTGATATGTCCATATGTTGCGGGTGCCACATGTACTGCAAGCTGTACAATGCTGCCAAGGCATGTTGTACTTCAACACGCCTCCTCAAATTGCACTGGGACCAGTGCGCTTTGCAAACGTACAAAAGGCCTTGTTGTTCGAGACAACATAAGACAAACTGCATGTAAAACTGATCACCAGAGATGCAGATGTGCTGTACAACCGTGTCCCTCGTGGTAGGCTCATTTGTACCGTGAATCCGGTGCGCCGAGAAATGGCACATGTATCTCACTGAGTGAGGAGCGTCCTGCCCAACTGTACGCCAGTCATGTATTCCAAGTCCACCTTGCTTTTGGTCACCACGTAGTGAGCAAAGAAGGGATTCTGTTGCTCCTTGATGGACTCGATGTCCAGGGATTGCTGCACCTGCCAATGTTCCCTGCGTGTCAATCGCACTGATCTCCTGAGTGGAGATGTGACGAGCCAATGTGGTCCAGCGTTTCCCTGCAAGGAGCTTGATGTTGTTCACGTCCATGATGCTAAGGGCCTGTGCTGTAGTGGCATGTCTACGACTGACTGCTGGCTCTGTAGCCAACTGAGCCATGTCGACGCATGCATTGCAAGACCAAATGTATACACTGTGACAGTTGAACTGCATGTAGATGCCAAGCAAGCCGTTGCTGCCTGTTTGTGTTCTGCTTCCATAGTGTATTGCTGCTCCGAAGACATCTGTTGCGCTCTTTCTTGTTCTCTCGCGTGAGGCCCAGTTGGCATCTGTGTATGTGTCGATGTTGAGTGGGATTCGCTTGTCCTGTATCTGTCTCTTTGCGTCGCATGTACCTTGTGCCTTCAAGGGTTTCTTGTGGTCAAACAGTGTTGACGCTTGTAGTGATCTTGCTAGTTCTGTTGCTCCGTGGCTGATGTGTGGTCTGGTGAATGCTAACCATTGCATCTTGCCAACAAGCCGCCCGTGTTGCTTGTGCTGTTCGTGGCCGAGCGGCGCTTCATCTTCTGCTTTGCCTTTCATGTGTGACACTCCTGGTGCTGGTGATAATACTGAGTTGCATGTCGTCACTCCTGATTCTTCCAGGATGATGTCAAAATAGCTGTTGTTCAAACTGATTCGGTGTGGATGCTTTTGCGTGAACTGTTCCTGCCAAGGAAATGTATTGTTGTTCCTACATCGGGGTCGCCTTTGTGTATCAGCAGGACTTCTTTCTGCATTCTGCTGAAGAGTGTCAATCATGCTCTGTACTCCTATGACAAGGAGACCGTCTACATAGATCATGATGTAGACTAAGCAATCTTTTAATCTATAAACATTGCTTTCTGTTGCGCGTCTCTGCGACTGTCAGAATGTGTGATCTCAGGCCGTATATTGCTTTGTTCAGCCGCCAAATGATGTGTTTGTGCGTGCTTCATTGTGGACCTCATTACCAAGTTGTTTAAGATTAACAAGTTGTAGGAGTTTGCTGCTGCGTGTAGGAATGCAACACTGACATTTGCTGTTGTACCCAATGCCATTGTGAGAAGTACTCTCAATATGCTAAACACTGGTGTACTTGCAAGGAGTAAGTCCTGGTCTGTAACGGCTCCTGGGTATCCTTTTTGCTACACTTCGTACTCGTACTTCATTGTGCTTTTGTTTGAGATACCATCTTGACTCAATCATGTTTGCTTGTTGTTCTGGTGTCATTGTGCTGCCATCTGTATCTGTAAAGACTGATTGGTCTTTCACGCGTTGTGCTTCTTTCTTCATGTCTGTGAAGCCTTCTGTGTCACGTATGATTAGGTTGGATGTGGTCTCCATTTGTCTCCATTTGTGTGTCATCTCTTGTTGCAATTTTTTTTGATGGCATTGGTTCTCATTTGCCTTTTGGTTGTTCTGTTGTTGTAGGTCGCTCCAGTGCTTGTTTTCAGGAGGGCTTGCAGGAAGGCAGGCAGGCTGTAGTTCTGGCCAAGTCGAATTGAATATTGTTTGGATGAAGTGATTTTTGAAATGAACCCTGTATGGCAATTTATGGGCTCTGAAACCTGCTGGCAAGTACAAAAGTACAGTCTTGAAGGCGTGCGGGAAGCCCATGAAGCTCGTCTGGAGACTGGCTAAGACGTGGCATTTGCGATCAGTTGAGCTGACCTGGGCAAGGCAAAGTGTTCCGAATTGCAGGAAGGGTTCTCGCACAGACGCCCAACACGCACATTGTATTGCGTTGTACATATATATATATATATATATATGCTACCCCCCCCCCCCCCGAGGTACCCAGGTTTGGGCTTGGTTCAGATGTGCTTTGACCGCGGAAGCAGGCAGGAAGAATAGCTCAGATTTGCACACTCGGAGACCAGAGGAAGGAGGTTTGCCTCATTGAAGAAAGACGCCTTGGACGTGACCATGCCCTTTTTCAATGGCTCTTCCACACAAAGACTCTTCCACAGAAAATTCACACATCCTCTCACCCAACACATGTCTTTTTACATGTCTTCTTTCAATGAAACAAAGGCAGCATATGTGAAAGAGTTGCCAAGGAAAGGGAACCCTGTGTAGAATAAAGCCAGGCTATGGCTGGGACAGTTTGTGTTACATAAATGGTGGTTTTACAAGATATTTGCTGTCTTTTGCTGTACTTTTATGAATTACTGTAACCCTGACTCTTCCACAAAGACCCACATATCATCTCGCACAAAAACATGTCTTTTTCAATAACTCTTCTCTACAGAAAATTCACATATCCTCTCACCCAGAACATGTCTTCTTTCACAAAGGTTCACATATCCTCTCACCAAAACATGCCATTTTTCAAAGGCTCTTCCACAGCAAATTCACATATCTTCCACACAAACCCCTTCTTTCAAAGACCCTTCCACAGAATATTCACACATCATCTCACACAAAGCATGTCTTTTCAATAACCCTTCTCTACAGAAAATTCACACATCCTCTCACCCAAAACATGTCTTTTTGCATGCCTTCTTTCACAAAGGTTCACATATCCTCTCACCAAAACATGCCTTTTTCAAAGGCTCTTCCACAGAAAATTCACATATCTTCCCACACAAACCATGCCTTCTTTCAAAGACTCTTCCACAGAAAATTCACACATCCTCTCACCCAACACATGTCTTTTTACAAGACTTCTTTCAATGAAACAAAGGCAGCATATGTGAAAGAGCTGCCAAGAAAAGGGAACCCTGTGTAGAATAAAGCCAGGCTAGGCTGGGGCAGTTTGCTTGTGTGGTTTTACATGATATTCACTGTCTTTTGCCGTACTTTTATGAATTACTGTAACCCTGACTCTTCCACAAAGACCCACATATCATCTCGCACAAAACATGCCATTTTTCAAAGGCTCTTCCACAGCAAGCCCAGACATCTTCCCACACAAACCATGCCTTCTTTCAAAGACCCTTCCACAGAATATGCACACATCATCTCACACAAAGCATGTCTTTTCAATAACTCTTCTCTACAGAAAATTCATTCATCCTCTCACCCAAAACATGTCTTTTTGCATGCCTTCTTTCACAAGGAATCACATATCCTCTCACCAACCCCATGCCCTTTTTCAATGGCCCTTCCACACACAATTCAATTCACATATCCGCCCACACAAACCATGCCTTCTTTCAAAGACCCTTCCACAGAATATTCAGACATCATCTCACACAAAGCATGTCTTTTCAATAACTCTTCTCTACAGAAAATTCATTCATCCTCACCCACAACATGTCTTTTTGCATGCTCTTTTCTCACAAGGAATTACATATCCTCTCACCAACGCCATGCACTTTTTCAATGGCTCTTCCACACAAAATTCCATTCACATATCTTCCCACACAAACCATGCCTTGTTTGAAAGACTCTTCCACAGAAAATTCACACATCTTCTCACCCAACACATGTCTTTTTACAAGACTTCTTTCAATGAAACAAAGGCAGCATATGTGAAAGAGTTGCCAAGGAAAGTGAACCCTGTGTAGAATAAAACCAGGCTATGGCTGGGACAGTTTGCTTGTGTTACATAAAAATGGTGGTTTTACATGATGGTTACTGTCTTTTGCTGTACTTTTATGAATCACTGTAACCCTGACTCTTCCACAAAGACTCACATATCATCTCACACAAAAGATGTATTTTCAATAACTCTTCTCTACAGAAAATTCACATACCCTCTCACCCAGAACATGCCTTCTTTCACAAAGGTTCACATATCCTCTCATGCTCCGCAAATGTTGCGCAACATTTGGAATTTGTTGCGCAACATTTCCCTGGACCAAAAAGCCAAAGAATCCCAGCCATGGTGGGGGCTAGGATTGGTTTTTTGGTTTTTTTGGTTTTTTGGTCCACAAAATGGCCTGGCAGAAAATGCATGAGTTCAATCAAAATACACTGTAAATATCAATGGTTTCGATACATGATGCAACGACACCTGGGTACTGGGGGGGGTACCATATATATATATATATACATACATATATACATATAGATATGTATGTTACGATCAGAGGTGATGGATAGTACAGGATCAACTCACGTGTTCTCATTTGCAAGCAAGTGCTGGCCACGTCATTGCAACTCCTGGCTGGGGCAGGCTTGACGCTCTTCGTGTCCTTGCTTCCGATGGTGCTCAGCTCCATCTTCCGAACTTTCTTCGTGCTGAAGGCTGGGCTTACAGAAGGCTGCTACTTGTGTTGGGCCTTCGAAAGTTGCAGTTTCCTTGGAAGTGTTCTTCTGAATCAACACCTTTCAGTGAACGCTGCTTTCTCAAAGCTCGCTGGCAAACGGTAGATCAGGAATGGGTGCTTGGTTGCAGAAGCTAAAGGACGCCAGAATGTTGGACATAATCCCGGTTTCACAATGGCTCAGGAAGTGGTTCAGCATTGCGGCAATATGATCCATTGCTCACGTTCCAAGGCTTCATTGGTGCCATCAGACCTCACAGTTTCTACAGTTCTACATGCTTTCGCGACCGCCACAAACACACTGACGAATGGGTATGGGTATGTTTCCAAACGGGCCCTTTTTTGGGTGGTTTTGAGGGCACACCACTAGGATACCAACCACCGGAGGGTCTCCTCGTTTTCACAACAGGTTATTGTTTGTTTTGATGGAGGCTGGCGGGACGATCAGCAGCTGGCCTCGTGCTCACATTCTGAGCTTGGTTTGTGGGTCAATCCTGTCAAGTAAGTTCGGAGGTGGAGACATCCAGTCGTTGTTGACGTAATTACATTGGCATTTCCAGGAAGTTTGCCTGTATGTCTGGGCATGTTGCAACCGGCGCATGTTGCAAGGCAGACGCGCTACCTGGATGCAAGGGGGGTGTCACGCAGATGCTTCCCTGTACTGGGAGTGTGAGGTTTGTTTGTTTGTTTGTCTGTTTGTTTGTTTGTCTGTCTGTCTGTCTGTCCGTTTGTTTGTTTGTTTGTCTGTTTGTTTGTTTGTTTGTTTGTCTGCTTGCTTGTTGGTTTGTGTGTTTTTGTTTGTTTTTACGTTTCTTGTTTCTCCCTGTTGTTCTTGTTTCTTTTGTTACTTACTTTCTGTGTTCGGTCGGTCGGTCGGTCGGTCGGTCATTCGGTCGGTCGGTCGGTCGGTCGGTCGGTTGGTTGGTGGTTGGTTGGTTGGTTGGTTGGTTGGTTGGTTGGTTGGTTGGTTGGTTGGTTGGTTGTGTGTTTGTTTGTTTGTTTGTTTCTCTCGGTTTCCTGTTTGTTAGTTTGTTTGTTTGTTTGCTTGCTTGCTTGTTTGTTTGTTTGTTTGTTTGCTTGTTTGTTTGTTTGCTTGCTTGTTTGTTTGTTTGTTTGTTTGTTTGTCTGTTTGTTCGTTTTGTGTCTGTGTGTGTGTGTGTGTTTGTTTGTTTTGGGCCTTCCCTGTCAGTGTCTTTGATTTGGTTTCTGTCCTCGCCTCTGTCCCTGGTACGTATTCCTTGTGTCTGCTGATTGGGGTTAGTTCATGTTCATGCCTTATGTGCAGATTCTCCGACTGTAAGAGGTTCTAAAGCACTTGACTGTGTTTTTCTGTCTTGGTCATTAGTTTTGTGGTTCTGTGGTCACTCTGTTTTGTGTTTCTGTGCGCGTGTGTTTGGTTGGGTTTTGTGTTTGGGTTTGTTATTTTTTGTTCATGAGCCGGGTACCCCTTCCACTGAAGATGATGCGTGCTGCTTTCTGTGCCATGTGCCCAGAAGGACGCCCAAGATGAACTATTCAGTGGAAAAGCTAAAAAGGTTCGGTTGTGCTTGTTTTGTTTCTTCGATACCTGTTGCAGAGCTGAACATCTTTATGGTTTTGATTTGACTACCCTGGGTGAGTTGTTGCGATTAGGGGATCACTGTCTTGGGATATAGACATGAGCCAACGTTGGTAGCAACTATATTTTTAATAGGCGACTGGCTGTTGATAATTGTCCACAGCGCCCCAGGGTTGCCGTCACCCCCTTGTCCTGCCCAGGGTTAGGTTTAGCGTTTAGGTTGAGGGTTTAGGTTTAGGGTTTAGGTATGGGGTGTAGGTTTAGGGTTCGTTCAGGGTTAGGGTTCGGGTTTAGCGTTTCGGTTTAGGGTTTGGGTTTAGGGTTTAGCCACCGTCTATGGCTTTTGGTGACGACTGACTGTGCTTCAGGCGGCTCCGGTTTTCAGGTTTGGGCGTTGGGGCGTTGCTTTTGGGGCGTTGCTTTTGGGGCGCAGGCAACCCTCAGGGGCTGGCCGGAAATATGCAACTGGCTGTTTGATTCAGCGGCTCAGATGAGTCTGGTGATTTCGGACGATTGTTCGACGATTAAGCAAGGGTGTAATCCTAGGGTGTAGTCCTAGGGTGGGCCGTGAGGCTGTCTCAGCACAAGCTGCAGTTCTGGTACTTTCTCTTCCAGCTGATCTTTGTGGTGCTGGTGCCTCCCTCAGCAAGCGGCGCAGAGGAACGCGAGACACCCCGGGGTCCATTTGGGTGCTTCTAGAGTGCCCTTTTCCAGGTTGGTGCACAGGGAATCCGAAAGGAACGGTGACCAGTTTGGGGCCCCCTACTTCACTACTTCAGCACATGCCCATTGATGGCTAGTTGCTGGACTTACATGTGCGATCCGCCATTCGGCCTGGTCCGTGTATAACCACCAAGCGGCAGGTTGAGGAACCGCCGCCCCGCAGCACTTCTCATTTTGAAAAAATGTATCACTTGCACGTGCCTTTGGTCTATAAGGGCTTCGTACACTCCACGGTTTTTGTGTTTGTCGGGTCTGCTGATTTGGCTCAGCCTTTCACATTGGGATATGGATTTTGACTCGGACAGTGGCTTCTTCCAAGCGCAGGGAAGCGAAGTGAGCCGCACGAGCTCCTTACTTAACTTGAGCACACACCTATTGGTTCGAGACATGCTTGCCCGACGCCTGGGCTGCAAAGACGTGGAGGTGTCAACCACTCACCTGTTGCAACACCAGGAGTAAATCTGCTGGCGCGTGACTGTCAGATTCTTCCAAGCCTCGCCCAGAGGGAGTTCTCTCGCAGTATAACAAGTTGGGCTCCGCATCCCTGATTTGGGCCCCGCAAATCCTGAGCATGCTTTTCTTTGGGGCGCTCGGATGGCAGCAATGACCTTTCCATCTGACAGAACTTTGTGAAGCCAGGCCGCTCGCATACCTCAGAATCCCAGGTGATGGTACTGTTGTAAGGCTGCTCGGGATGAGGTTTGTGTTGGCTGACAGGAGTGCAATCAGATGGCATCAGGACAAGCATTGTGTTGCCTCGAACAAATCACGGAGCCGTTGGACCCAACCTGCTCGGCCGTGCCCAGAGCTTTGTGGCAAGGTTCAGCTTCAGACTGCGGCTGGCGGACGCACTGCCGGCCTGCGCATTTGAAAAAACACCTTTCGAGTGGGACGCTTTGCCTTGCACCGGCAGCGCCACAACTCCGCACACCGGCTGCTGCTTTTCAGGCTGGCATGCTCTGGGATTCAAGTTCACTGATTTGCACAATTTATAGCGAGCTCACCGGGCCTAGGCGATGCCCGTATCCCGAATTACGAGGTGGTGTCCGAAATAAGGGTTTCTCAAATCATTGCAATAAATAAACTGGCTCTCCAACCCCTCTCTCATTAAGACTGGCAGCAGCTTCTCAAATCCCAGCCATGTGTGCTTATTTGGCCACAAACAACTTGAAAACACTCAGGTTTGAGAAAACCAAGCCCCCCCAATCTCTTGACGACTTGATCAGGTTCTCAAATCCCAGACATTCTGGTGCTGTCTTTGTCTAGCGTTTGCTTCAGTGGCTGGCTTTACATCCAGGTAGCTCGCAAGAGGTTGCTTGGAATGAGATATGTCCAGGCTTGCAGGAGAAGCGTTAGATGACATCACTTGGCATCCGGCATGTTTGCTTGACTTAAGCAAAGCTTGGACCCAAGCAGTTGAGCTGTGCCCAGAACTTTGTGGCAAGTTGCAGCTTGAGACTGCTGTGGCTGGCAGACAACAGAGTACTGCTGGCCTGCGCGTGCGCTTACATCTTTTGAGTTGGACGAATGCCTTGCAGCACCGGCAGCGCCGCAACTTCCCAGCCGGTATGAATTTCAGGCTTGGGCGATGTCGGCAGTGTTTGCCTAGTGCTTGCTTTAGTGGCTGGCTTCGCAACAAGGTAGTTCGCAAGAGGTTGCTTGGAATGGGATATGTTCAGGCTGTGAAGAGGAGTGTTAGATGACAGTACACGGGGCATCCATCATTGACTTAAGCAATGCACAGAGCACTGAGGTCCAAGCAGTTTGGCTGCGCCCAGAACTTTGCAACTTGATGCAGCCAGAGACTGCTGCCGTGGGTAGCAGACTTAGTGTTGCTGGCCTGCGCATGCGCTTACACCAACGGCGCTGCAACTTCTCAGCCGGTGTGCTTTTAAGGTTGGCACGCTTTGGAATTGAAATCGAACGATGCAGTCTTGGCCTAACATTTGCTTCAGAGCTTGCTTCGCATCAAGGAATGGGATATGTCTCGGACTTAGTTAAAGTTAAGAGCACTTTGGCCCAACCAGCTTGGCTGTGCCCAGAACTTTGTGGCAAGTTGCAGCTTGAGACTGCTACTGTGGTTGGCAGACAACAGAGTACTGCTGCCCTGCGCATGCGCTTACATCTTTTGAGTTGGACGAATGGCAACTTCCCAACCCTCACGCTTTTTAAGTTGGCACGCTTTCGACTTCATTTGGGCGTCGGTCGTTCAAAAGGCCATGTGTTCGGTTTGGTATTCCAAATTTCCAGACTAACATGGCATGAGCTTCCCACTGTGTGCGCGGAAGAGACCCGGAAGGGCGGTGGAGAGATGTGGAAGGGCCAGGGCTAGCCAGCACAAGAACACGGAAAACACATGAGGGAAGCTGCGGAAGTCGTGCGGATGTATCGCGGAAGGCGCGCAGAAGACAAGTTTGTCCAGGCAAGCCCCTCCCCCTTCAAGCCTTCCACAAAGAAGTGCTTATGTCGAAGCTGCCTGAACTCTTTCAGCTGTGGGCTGGGAGCCGCCAGCCCGCAAGCTCCTCACCCCCGCAGTCTTGGCCTAGCATTTGCTTCAGAGTTTCGCATCAAGATAGCTCGCAAGAGGTTGCTTGGAATGAGATATGTCCAGGCTGGAGAAGCGTTAGATGACATCACTTGGCATCCGGCATGTTTGCTTGACTTAAGCAAAGCTTGGGCCCAAGCAGTTGAGCTGTGCCCAGAACTTTGTGGCAAGTTGCAGCTTGAGACTGCTGTGGCTGGCAGACAACAGAGTACTGCTGGCCTGCGCGTGCGCTTACATCTTTTGAGTTGGACGAATGCCTTGCAGCACCGGCAGCGCCGCAACTTCACAGCGCTCAGGCTTTTTAGGTTGGCGCGATTGGCGCGCTTTCGAAATCAATTTCAATGACGCCGTCTTGGTGCAATGGTTGCTTCAGTGGCTGGTTTCGCATCAAAGTAGCGCGCAAGAGATTGCACTTTGGGTCAGCTTTACAATAAGACCAGACCTGGCCAAGCAAACAGAATGTGCAGGTGCTGGGATGGCAGTGCTTAGAAATGACTTTGGTATCAGGTGGTGCTGAAGCCAAGCGACCTGGCTGTGCCCAGAACGTTGTGAAGTGAGACTTATGTCAGCGCTCGCACGCCTCCGCACCCCAGCCTGTTCTTCCATGGTTTTGCCATTCAGGCTGCTTGGGCATGGGGGACATTATGTTGCTTTGGCTTGAGCAAAGCACGGAGCCTTTGTGGCAAGTTGCAGCTTCAGACTGCTGTTGTGCTTGGCAGACACAGAACTGCTGGCTTGCCCTTCAGGTAAGCTTCGCGGCGAAAACCAGACCTGCTTGAGTTGAGAGGGCTCCGCTGCTCGGATGCCAGTGGTGATTTGCAATGAGCTTGCCATTTGCCGGTGGTGTTGAAGCCAACCGAGCTGCGCGGCCTGCGCGGCCTGCGCGGCCTGCGCGTGCCGCGAACTATGTGGCGAAGTTTCAGCTGCGCGAGGTTGACGCTAAGCTTTGCAAGCCAAGTAACTACCATCGGATACTCATCTCGGTGCTCGCACACCTCCGACCTCAGAATCCCAGCTTGTGGAACTCCTTTGACAATCAGGCTGCTGGGAAGGAGGTTTGTGGTCGCTGCCAAGAGCAGCATTGAATGACATAATGAAAAGCTTCATGTTGCCGAATTAAGCAAGGCACAGAGCGCTTGGGCCCAAACGGTTGGGCTGTGCCCAGAAGTTTGTGGCAAGTTGCAGCTTGAGACTGCTGCTGCTGTGGTGGCAGACACAGTACTGCTGGCCTGCGCATGCGCTCACACCTTTTGATTTGGAAGCATGCCTTGCACACCCGACAGCGCCGCAACTTCCCAACTCTCACGCTTTGTATGTTGGCACGCTCTCGGAATCAAGTTCAAGGATGCAGTCTTGCTGCAATGTTTGCTTCAGTGGCTAGTTTCGAATCAAAGTAGTGCGCAAGAGGTTGCACTTTGGGTACTTGGAAGCTTGGTGGTAAGACCAGACCTGGCGGCAGAGGGCGCAGGCGCTTGGATACAAAGCAGAACCGACCTGGCCATGGCCACAACTTTGTAAAGCTTCAGCGCGAGTTTGACCCTAAGCCTTGTGTAGCCTGCCAGCTAAGTAGATTAGGCTGATACTCATAGTGATCACACACCTCAGACCTCAGAATTCCAGCTTGCTTCACTCCCGTAAGGCTGCTGGGGATAAGGTTGTGTTGAATGCCAGGAGTAGTGTTGGATGGCATCATGAGAAGCTTCATCTTTGCTTGACCTGAACAATGTAAAGAACGCTTGGACCCAGCCAGTGTGGCTGTGTTCAGGATGTGGCAATTTGCAGCTTGAGACTGCTGCCGTGGATGGCAGACACAATACTGCCGGCCACAGTACTGCTGGTTTGTACATTTGCCCTCGCCGAGGTTTGATGCCTTGCAGCACCGGCTGTTCCACATCTTGCCAGCGCTACAGACGCCTTCTGAGCGTGTAACCACTTTGAGCATTTCTTGCCTAATTGGCTTTTCAAGTCCGATTGATTTTACACTCTGCTTGGATGTGAGCAGTGAGGAGTTGACCCTTTCCGCGAAGGCTGACATGCTTCTTCCAGCATGAGCTGGAGCACTTGGCTTCACACTTGGCCTTGGAGTGATTCAGCTGCGGGAGTGGGACAAAGAGATGCACCCCAGCGTGCCCTGTGGGAAGGTCTAACAGATAGAAGTTTGGCAGAATCAGGGCAAACCAAAAGGAGTCATCGCATAGGTGGAGTGAAAACAAGACTTTGCAAGTACTCCTCAGTGCCAGATGGGGCCAGAATTCCTTCCAGACATCTTCTACAATGTTTTGTAGAAGGCTTTGCGCCCCTTTTTCAGAAGCTGATTTTGCAAGATGGGATAGCATTCAGAGTTTTCATGGCATCGCTACCAGTGCGCCGACTTCTTTTCCCCTGGCTCAGACTGTCCCACTTTCAACCCCGAAACGTGCTCAGCGGCGGTTGCGCAGGAAAAGCGTTTCATGCCGGTAAGCACATGTGCATTAGCGAGTACATATCCCTCCACGCTGCTCTGTCAGGTCACGTGCATGCCCTAGCAACAGTCGATCTCAGGTACAGAGCTGTCCTTGTTGTGTGGTTCAATCGGTGTAGGACCTAAAGCAACGACGCAACACGGGGTACTTGCATTTCGTGTGGACTGACGTCATCTATAGCTTGGAATTATCTTCCAAGCTAAGTCCGTGGTAACATATTCGGGGTTCAGAACCCTGAAGCCCACAACCCAGGTCAGCAAACTTGCTGCTGTTTTGCGCCGAAAGAGTTGCAGGGATTGAGAACAGCAACTCCAGATGTGCAGTGCCCAGCCCGAGCACTCGATATTTCTGTCACACTTTTCCGCACGGTGTCTTTAGCATCATGGCCCCTTCCTGTCCTGAGTGTGTTGCTGGCCTGAGCAAGCAATAGGCACAGAAGAGCAGCAGGTCTATCAGTATCAATATGAATGCATTAAGGACAACCCCAACGTACAACCATGCTGACTTGAGCAAAGCACGGAGAGCTTGGACCCATATAGTTTGGCTGTGCCCAAAACTTCATTGCAAGTTGCAGCATGAGACAGCCGCTGTGGTTGGCAGACACAGTACTCCTGGCACAAGTACTGCTGGTGGCTCGCGCATTTTGCGCGCATCTTTTGCGTTTGATGCCTTGCCTTGCAGACTTGCTGTGAAGTGCAGTTCGCACACTATTATGGCTAGCAGGTGTTGAGATTCAATTCAACGATGCTGTCTTGGCCCAGCATTTGCTTCAGAGCTGGCTTCGCATTGAGGTAGCTCGCAAGAGGTTGCACTTTGGGAAAGCTTCACAGATCTTCACAGTAAGAACTAAGCCTGCGGCTTGAATTGAGAGGGCGCAGGCGCAGCTCGGATGGCCGTGCTTTGCAGTGACTTTGGGTGCTGAAGTCAACCGACGGACCGACCTGGGCGTGCCCAGAGCTTTCTGAACTTTATTCATGGCAGCCTTTCCTCTTGTCCCTGAAGTAAATTGAGAGCCTGCGTTGATGTTCGAGTTCGTCGCTGCCGGAGATGCTGCAAGCGCCTACAAAGGTCCTCGCAGC